TATATATTTTTGTATATTAGTTTCATAACTATCTTTTTTGCCCTTTTTTGTTATTTGATTTCTTTCATGTAGCAAGTTTCATTAGTTGAATTATGTAAGGTAAATTTACGAAGACAACTTCATAATAATTAAATACTCCAAAGATGTAGTATGTCTTCATAATGTCAAATAAAAAAATAGAATTCATATGAAATTATGACTTAAGTATATTTGTACATAATGATGCGTATAATCGTCTAAACCAAGCCGCATATAAATATAAATATATTGCTTTATGACAAGTTTGAAATGTAAGTTAAACATTTCCGTCATATTAACATGAGGAGAAAGCAATACTAAGTCTACCAAAGTCACATAAAGCACAAAAAATTTAACATACAAAAATTCCGAATACATCCAAAAAATATGATATTTTATTCACCAAAGAAAAAATATTACTGTGAAAAAAGACGGTTTCAGTAATATCATTCATAATCCAAAAAATTTTTTTACAACTCTCCATGAAAAAAAAAAAATTTCATGAAAGCGGCTTATTTAAATTCAAAATTAATCATCCGTTCGCTTCGCTTCGGTTTATATAAATTTGAAAGTGATTATTTCTAAATTAAGTTGTAATTTTTATTTAAAGTTATATTAGTTACTAAATCTATAACGCTATAGTTGAAAATCAAACAAAAAAAGCTTGAAAAATCTGAGCAAATTTAATTAAGTTGATAAGTTTTTTCAAAATTGGCACATCTGCATACATTCCCATTGGCCTTAATTTAAAACAATATTTAATAATTTTGCTTAGTTACATAGAAACTCTATAGAAATGAAACAAATTAGATCATTACTAAATTGGTCGAATGAATTTCCAAATTATTAAGTTCTCGAACATATCACTATCTTCATTATTTAAGAGCATATATTTTTAGACAAATATGTGTAGGAAAGCTTTAGCATATTTCATAATAAGCATTTCATATTTATGAACAACAACTAGAAGTACATACATCCACCCATATGGTGTATTTCATGGAAATGTCCCAAATRTATGCACACGCGTATAAGTTCATACATATATACACATATATATACTTTTTGTTTTTAAATGAATACATATGTACACACACATGCATAAGTGTGCCTGTGTATTTACTTGTTCAAGTTATTTGCATTGACGTCAACTTCTGTCAAGTCTGYCATGACTCGTTTAGTAGGTATTATGAAATCGAAACCGAAAACCAGTTCAGTTACTAATTTTATTTATATTTTTGCTTTTATTTCTAATTAAAGCACATATTTGTTTAAATTTAGTAAAACATAAAAAGGAAACGAACGCAAATATGAAGCAGAAATATGTTGTTTTAGGCACAAAAACATGTGAATGAGTTGTGTAAGTAGTGTATAAATAGACATGTGGGTATATCTAAGTTAATTAAATATCTACATTAAAACAAAAAAAAAAACAATAAACAAAACAACAAAAATAACTTATTACCTAAGATTTAGTTGTTGCTTTCTATGTGCATATCGTAATATAAAAGGTATAATGTTACATTTTTTATACTTTACCATATATTACAAAAATAATAACAAACTATAAAAAACGTTAACTTCCGTTGCACCGAAGCAAAATACACTTCACAGGTGCACTTCTGTTAGTAACTTTGTGTTTATACACATCTAGATGTGTATAAGAGACAGAATATACCCTGTTCTGGGTATAATTACAAAGGAGTGTTAAACTACGAAATCAATCATAAGAAAATATTTAGTCTGTCTATTATACACATCTAGATGTGTATAAGAGACAGCTTAAAAGCTGAGGGACTAGTTCGTTTGTGTATATACAGACAGACGGACATGGCTAAATCGACTCAGCTCGACATACTGATCACTTATATATATAACTTATAGGGTCTCCGACCCTCTTTCTGGGTGTTACGAACTTCGTGACAAACTTAATATACCCTGTTCTGGGAATAATTATAAAACTTGCAATAATTTGTGGTTTCCTTCTCCTGGACTCCTAATTGAACAATCCACATTTAGAATCTCTTTCTGAACTGTCTCTTATACACATCTAGATGTGTATAAGAGACAGATATGTAATAGTGGTCCGATATCGGCAGTTCCGACAAATGAGCAGCTTCTTGAAGAGAAAATGACGTTTGCAAATTTTCAAAAAGATATCTTAAAAGCTGAGGGACTAGTTCGTTTGTGTATATACAGACAGACGGACATGGCTAAATCGACTCAGCTCGACATACTGATCACTTATATATATAACTTATAGTGTCTCCGACCCTCTTTCTGGGTGTTACGAACTTCRTGACAAACTTAATATACCCTGTTCTGGGTATAAATATTCTAGTCTCATAATTCTCTTGTAATTTCTTGTAAAAAGCGCGGAATACATAGACAAGCTTTCACACTTCTTGTACTGAAGTACCAAATTGCTTTCTTTAAACTTAAGAAAAAAAAAAAAAAACGAAATTTATATATTCCTTTTATATTTATATATACATATATACTCCAACTTTTCTTATGGAGACATCATAGCCAATTCTCCCGAAGTCTTTAGTTACATGTTTCAGCTTTGCTTACACCCTGAACTGGGTACATCAAATTTAACACGAAGTTTTTAACACCCAGAAGAAATATACGTGGTACATATATGAATGATGTAATACATAWACATATTTTTCTCACATTCATTCATMATTTTTTAGTMMCGAAAATATGCCGATTTGATCCCGAATATAGCTTAGCCTTAACAGTTCTAAAGACTCAAAATTAATATTACAAGAAGCATAATATATGTACATATCTTAAGTAAATATGTAATTTTAATCTTCAGTAAAGGCCTTTATTTTCAATCATATTTATATTATAAAGACATATTCAAACAATATTGGTAAAATTGTTTAAAATTTTTGGCAACCGGTCCCGTAATTTTCCCGAGTTGATCCATAAAATTTTCTG